GAGCACTTCTATCTGTCAAAAAGGGTATTCCCTCTCCCACACCCCGCCTTGTGCAGGGCGCAGGCAGTCACCCTTAGACTATTAGAAGCCAGTGCGTATCGCAACCCTGCGGTTCTTCAAGCCATCTACCCTGAACAGTATCCAAGTGCAGATTGCCCCGCTTGTGGACTGTTAGCAACATTCAATAATGTGTGTGGGAATGTGAAGCCATCGGCCCCGCCCATAGCGAGGACAGGTGAGCTGCATTCTTACGCAGCCCCGAACTTAAGGATAAAACCCTGGCCGTCCAGAGTGCTCATGAACGGGCCGCCAAGCTCGGCTTGATGGTCCCTACGTGGGATTAGCCGGGTGGCGCTGAGTCTCCCCTGCGTCTTCTCAGGACCAAAATAAAGTTTTAATCAATCAATCAATCAATCAATCAATCAATCAATCAATCAATCAATCAATCAATTAATCAATCTATTAATCACATGCTCTGCATGTATGTCGACACAGAACACAAGAACTGGGATGAAATCTTGCCTTATGTGAATTTCACCTATAATATCGCCCGGCAGGAAACTACCGAAATGACGCTGTTTAGTTTAATACACAGGCGTAAAGTCACTACAACGTTGGGTGCTATGCTGCCGCACGAGTGTGACGGCACTCATGCTGACGCCGAAGAATTTGGTCAATGCGCCGAAGAAGCCCGACAGCTAGCCCGCGTGCGTATTTGTCACCAGCAACACAAAGATGCAAAACGGTACGACCTACGACACAAGCCCCGCCGCAGTGGTCTAGTGGCTAAGGTACTGACCCGCAGGGCGCGGGTTCGAATCCCGGCTGCGGCGGCTGCATTTCCGATGGAGGTAGAAATGTTGTAGGCCCGTGTGCTCAGATTTGGGTGCACGTTAAAGAACCCCAGGTGGTCTAAATTTCCGGAGCCCTCCACTAGGCGTCTCTCATAATCATATAGTGGTTTTGGGACGTTAAACCCCACATATCAATCAATCAACCTACGACACAAATTGGTAACCTACACACCCGGCGAGAAGGTATGGGTCTGGATCCCAATACGTCGACGTGGACTTTCAGAGAAGCTATTACGACGATACTTCGATCTATTTCGAGTCACCCGGCGATTGAACGACATCAACTACGAAGTTATTCCCGACGGCGATTGCAGTTCCAATCGCCGAAACCGCTCACACGAGATCGTGCATGTCATCCGGATTAAGCCTTACTTGTCCAGCTAACTCTCGTTTGTGCTGTGGTGCCGGTGCATATCTGTGTTCTTATAAGTAGAGCGCATTGGCTGCGCATTGGGACGATGCCATTTTTGGAGGGGGGCAATGTCACCTGCGTCCTGCGAGGAAGATGAAAGCGACAGTGCGTACGCGCATCTGCACGCTTTTATGCAGAACGCTACAACGAAAAAGACGAGGAACTCTCTTGCGCGCGGTAAATAAAAAGACCGACCTGCGGCTGCTTTCTCAGCGTCTTCAAATACGACCTTTGTCTTCCCGTCGCGACAATATGTAAAGGAAGGGCTCTCCGCTTTACTAACTCGCGTATTGTTGTATAGTTTTACAAGAGGCTAATTTCACCATATAAACTATTGCTGTGACGACAGTGGGCGAGTAGAAAGTGCGAGTTCGGGTCGAAGTGGGCGGTCGCGTCTGCATGGGGGCTGCCATTTTGGCTTCCAACCCCGGCTCCCGTGCTTACGGCTACAGCCGCTTCGCTAGCTCAATGCGTTCACTGCAGCTGGGAGAAGGCTAGTCACGCTCACGTTTAAAAAATGGCAGTGCCTGTGCGCTGCAGCGGATAACCGGATCAGTTTTTTGACAGCCGACGCTCAGTTCGCCGTTATCAAAAACACAGACAACATACGAGATGTACACAAGCTGCGCACAAACTAGGAAACTTATTACTGAACGCCATAGTGAACTACCAAATACACGAATCTCATCGCGTGCTTTCTTTTACGTACATTCATGACAGATTAGCAACACACCCTTTGTTGCTATGTTTCTTTGAAGCATGATTGTGATATGGTAACAAATATACGATCGCAGAATTAATGGAATCACAAGGCCGATAAAAGAAAAATTGGCAGATCCCTCTAACAGCGGGGATCGACGATATAAGAAACACGAATGAGAAATGTTATGTCGCTTTAAAATCAACACAACGTTACGAGGGGGAGTTAAATGATGCCGTACATGACTTCCGTGTCATGCTTATCATGTTTGGATGTGTCGTTTACCTTCGTCATCTATTCACGTCACGTGGTACAAAGTTTAGTATATGTGGAGCTAGCAAAACGGCCGCGAGCACGCTATGAGTGTGGCATGTTGTCATGTTCTTACATGACATGCATGTCAGGATTATCATGTTTGCACCAGACATATATATCGTCATCTATTGGTGCCACGTAATACGAAATTTAGCCTATGTGAAGCTACCAAAACAGCCGTGAGTGTATTATCAGTTTGGCATGTAGTCATGTTGTTGCTTGACACGCATGTCGTCATTATCATGTTTAGATGTGTCAGTTACCTATGTCGTCTGTTCGCGTCGCGTAATACCGGGTTCGGTACATGTGAAGCTAGCGAAACGGCCACGTGCGCATCATAAGCGTAGCATGTAGTCATGTTGTTACATGACACATTTCTCTTGTTTATCATGTTTGCACCAGTATCACATCTTCGTCATAAATTCACGTCCCATAATACCAAATTTAGCCGCCCCGCCGTGGTGGTCTCGTGGCAAAGCTACTCGGCTCCTGAGTCGAAGGTTGCGGAATCGAATCCAGGCTGCGGCGGCTGCATTTCCGATGGAGGCGAAAATGTTGTAGGCCCGTGTGCTCAGACCTGTGTGCACGTTGTGGTCAAGATTTCGGGAGTTCTCCACTACGGCGTCTCTCATATTCACATGGTGGTTTTGGGACGTTAAGCCCCATATATCAACCATAACTACCCAATTTTGTATAACTTAAGCTAGCGAAATGGCTGCGAGCGCATCATGAGCGTGGCATGTAGTCATGTTGTTGCATGACACGCATGTCATGATTTACATGTTAGGGTCTGTCGCTTGTGTTCGCCATGCAATAATGCCATACCATACCAGTTTTGCTACACGCCCTGTGAACGAATCCACCGCGAGAGCTGCAGGATCATGAAATGTAAATTTCATCATTCATGACATCCATGTCGCGATTTTTATGTCATGACTAGTCAAATATGTTCTTCATACAGTCATGTTATGTTATACCACAAGTTTGGTATCGATACCATTATCGAAATGGCCAGGAGAGCCAACTTAGTCGTAGGCGGATAGATAGATAAATAGATAGATAGATAAACAGATAGATAGATAAACAGATAGATAGATAGATAGATAAATACGCTCAAAGCCGTCGAAGTTCACTGAGAAATGCTTTGCATTTAATACACAACGTTCCTTGTTTGCTGCATTACCTGACTTTCCGTTTCCCGGCCACAAGTTCGGTGAAATAGATAATTTCATATTGGCCACGTCACCTACTGCTTCAGTATACGTCACAACCACTTGACACTATTTAAGGACAAAATTCTGGTAGGCTGGTTGCTTAGGAATGTAGCATGCCAGTAAACAGCCAAGATATCTTTAATATACTGGTTTATTATTAAAATTGGAGGCTCTGACTTAGTAAAGTTTAAGGTTTGAAAAGGGCCCCCTCCGCGGCGGCCTAGTGGCTCAGGTACTCGGCTGCTGTCCCGCAGGTCGTGGGATCAAATCCCGGCAGCGGCAGCTGCATTTACGGTGGAGGCAATAATGCTGTACGGCCATGTGCTCAGATTTGGGTGCATGCTAAAGAACCCCAGGTGGTCGAAATTTCCGGAGCCCTCCACTACGGCGTCTCCCATAATCATATGGTGGTTTTGGGAAGTTAAAGCTCAGACAACATCAATCAATCGAGGTTTCTAAAATGTTGCATCAGAAAAAAACGTGCTCTATATACGGAGAAAGACATCTTTTCATTCCAATTTAATTCTGTGAAAAAGGTGCTGAATTCCATTCACAAATCCTATTCCTCCCAGTATCGTGCCCTGTGTATTCCCCTACCACTGTGGCGTCGCGATAATGTGGAATGATTCCGGAGGAAATCCACTTTCAGAGTGGCAAGCCCGTAACCTTGGTAGTTACCTCCGCGTACCATTCTGGATTTTCTTAGTTGAACAATGTACAAGTTTAGTTGGCTGCGCACTACAGGTTTGCGCGTGCCATGCTCGAGAGGGAGCAAGACTGCGCGTGTGCTGAACCTATGTCAGATACATGGGCTTGCGCACGCTATGGGGGCTCACGATATATCTCGATGCTTACGTTGCGGACACTGCAGCCAATCACTTGCCGATGGCTCTCTCGCGAGATCTCGACCTCCCGAGAGCAAAGCAGGTAAGATGGCCACGGCCGACAACAGCACGGTGGTCATGGCTGCGAACGAGGTCTGTGTGAATTTCTGCTTTGCCCTTAATTTGAAACTTAAGTACAACTTGAACCAAATCTATGATCCCCGCCGCGGTGGTCTAGTGGCTAAGGTACTCGGCTGCTGACCCGCAGGTGGCGGGATTGAATCCCTGCTACGGCGGCCGCATTTTCTATGGAGGCGGAAATGCTGTAGGGCCATGTGCTCAGATTGGGTGCACATTAAGGAATCCCAAGTGGTCTAAATTTTCTACATCTTCACTACGGCGTCTCTCATAATCATACGGTGGCTTCAGGACGTTAAACCCACATATCAATCAACCAAATCGTTGAACAGGTGAAGTGGATTGTAACCGCTGCTAAGCGTAACCTTATTATAGTAGGTGCCGTGATCGGGCATCATCACTTTCTACGCACCGGCTATTTTGGCAGGGAAGCATTTCTAAAAAGAAATAACAATAACTTGATCGCTGTAGTACTCTAAAAAACACACAAGCACACTAGAAATTTTGTTTACTGTATGAAGACAAGAACATTACAAAAATGACGCCAAGGGGACACACTTTATTTTATGCAGTGCATTTTGCCACCATGCTGGTGTTGGTTACTGATACGAATCCTAACAAGTTTCTTAGATACAAAAAAGATAACTTAAAATTTAAAAAGTGATCCGCTGCAGCGCAAAATGGTGGCTTCGTTCATCCCATGAGCATCGGGCCCATTAAGGGTCCGAATGGAATGATGGGGCGAATAAAGGGAAGGAATCCGGGACCAAAGGGACCACCGATACAGCGACACCGGAAGCCCATGCAGACACCCGTGCTGCCGGGATACAGCATGAAGCAGTTTCTTCGGCACATGAGTGGGTTCCCCATCACGCACGCAAGGCCACGACCTGCGAGTGCGCAGCGCAGAAAACAGATGCTTGAGTAGATGACGCGTAGGCCTATTTCATCGTATCCATGCCATCGTCACCCCTTCTTTTTTTACGATGAACTCCGCTCGACTAGAATTAGCGAGTCACATCAAACATAGAATTGCCTTGTGATTCAGCTTCTATCGCGCAGTACTAACGATTTATTTCGGCCACTTTCTGCCGCGAACGTCCTCGGAACGCAGTCGCCTTCCTGCGGCTATGGCAAGGTTAACTGCTATGTTATACCTCAAGTGGCTGGGACAATTGTAACCAATAATTATAAAGTATGTTCCTGTAATAAACTTATCTTGCTACTGCAGCACCTCGTGATGTTCTAATGAGTGTACGTGTGCCACTCGTCCACGCCTGTTCATCTAAAATGCTTATACTAAGTTAGCGATTCACTAGATATATAGTTACTGCAATGTTCCTCCTATACGTGAGTGCTTAGGACATGCTGAGATTACTGCTGCATCTCCAATAGATTGCTCTTGTTTGTGAAAAGACCTGTGTTTTCCAACAGACAAGACCTGAGCTATGTCTTGGTGGCTTACCCTCCGTAAAAGTGTATGTACATATTCGTCGCATCGTGACTGGCTGACATAGCGATCCATTCACTTGAGTTGAAACGTGTTATGGAAACATTTCGTAGGAATCGTTTATCAGAATGATGTGCATCTTTACGTTGTGAAACCCCAATATTTGACCAGCGCTGATAATATTTATGTTTACATTGCGCTAGCCGTCGGAGGTACAATGTCACCGCTTCATGAAGTAGCTCCCTGACGCCGCCCTGAAAGTCAAAGCTAATTGTTTCTAATGATTTTACGACTTTGCCGAGCCGAGTACAGTACAGTGAAGAACCTCCAGTTCACGGTGTAAGATAGAAATGTTTGCATTTTACACCATGTCTTTGTGCGCACTTCAGCCATTTATTGCTCACTTTTTATTCTATGCTCTTACTCCAAAAGTTTAAATTGAGGATTCAATGTAGTCAATAAACTTGAAAGTAACTTGTGTAAAAACAACAAAAACATTCGCATATGGCTGCAGTTTGTGTAACGGGCCATCATCATGATCAGCCTGACTACGCCCACTGCAAGGCAAAGGCCTCTCCCTCGGTCTGCCAATAAACTTGGTCTTGCGCTTTCTGCTGCCACGTTATACCTGCGAACTTTGAAATCTCATTAGCCCACATAACTTTCTGTCTCCCCTTCGTGCATTTGCCTTCTCTGGAAATTCAGTCAGTTACCTTTAATAACCAGCGGTTATCCTGCCCACGTGCTACGTACGTGGCCCATGCCCATGTCTTCTTCTTGATCTCAAATATAATATTCTTAACGCCGGTTTGTTGCCTGGCCCACTCTGCTCTCTTCTAGTCTCTTAAGGTTACACCTATCCTTTCCACTTCCATTGCTCGCTGCGTCATCCTCAATGTAATGTGAACCCTCTTCTGAAGTCTTCAGGTTTCTGCTCCGTTGGTAAGCACCGGTAAAATGCAGCTGTTATATGCTTTAAACAATAGGCAATTATGCGCGTCAAATGCTTTTGAGCTTGCTACGTACAAACTATACGTGGTTTTGAGGGAATGCCACGACGCGGTGTTCTAGTGGCTAAGGTACTCGCCTGCTGACCTGCAGGTCGCGGGTTCGAATCCTGGCTCATTTCCCACCTTGATGTTTTTCTGTTCTTCAAGTCCTTCCCCCACTTAATGGAAAGTGGGGAAGGTTGTATCACTCTACATTTCAGGTGATAGAGAATCATCACTAAACTACCAGCCAATTTTCTTAAGAAGCATTCATTGCAAGCTCATAGAACATTTGCCATTTTGTCACTTATTGAATTTTTTGAGGGTAATATCTTTTTTATTCTTCACAGAGCGAGTTTTGGAAAGGACTATCATGCGAAATTCAATAAGTCATCTTCGTTCAGGCATGATCTACATTTCAACCTCGACATTAATACACAGACTTACGTAATTTTCTCCTCGACTTAGCTAAGGCATCTGACAAGGTAGCTCATCAGCGGCTACTGCTGAAGCTTTCACTCCTCAACCTTCATTCTAACAGTCTAAGCTAGATCAAGCAATTTGTAACTAATAAATTTGTGCGAATAAATATTAACCCGCCTAAAACACTTCCAAGAAATTGAGGCATTACTCAAGGCTCTGTGTTAGGTCCCCTCCTTTTGTTATTATGTAATAATGACCTACCCCTTTGTGTCTGTAGTAATATTCACACATTTGCGGACGACTGTGTTGTTTATTTCACAATATCTAATACAAATAACCAAGCTTTGCTTCAAACTGACCTCGATACTATTCAAAACTGGTTTGATGACTTACTAATGTTAGTAAACCCTTCAAAGTTCAAGGTTATGTAAATAACCCCTTGAAGCACTTCCTTTACCTCATGGTATATAATACATGATGAACCTATCGCATCAATAAAATCATTCAAATACTCAGGCGTCACTATATACAGTGACCTTGATTGGCATTTACCTATTAACAACGTCTCAAAGCATCTGATAACAATAAGCTAGGTCTCTTTAAAGGTCACATTATGAAAGCTTTTTCCCCACGTAAAACTTTTAACAAACACATTCTTGATCAAACCTGAACTTTAATAAACTTCTTCTATCTGGTGTTCACACAAAACTTTCCTTACCAATGTCCTGTAAAATGTTCAAAGTCACGCAACTAGGTTCATTCACTTCGCATTTTCATATGGCATCAATGTACCATCATTAAAAACTGCATCCCATTTATCATCTCCTTCGTACAAACGTCGGATTTCTTGCTTATCGTTATTCCGCAGACTTTTTTGCAGTTACCTTGGCCTCGCAACATGTATCTCACCACCAGCCCGAGTATCACATCGCACTGTTAATTTTTAAACGTTCTTAACCACATGATGCGCACTGCCACTTTTCACCTTCTTTCTTCCCTCGGGTAGCTATAGATTGGAATGGCTTTCCCACGACATCGTTGCTACCACCTGCTCATCTGAGTTCATTGAAGAAGTGTCTGCATGGTTTCTCTCCACAATGTTTTTATATTTTTGTGAATCAAACCGGTAGGCAATATTCTTATTTGGGTCCTTTAAGGAATAAATAATGAATGAATGGTCTAACACTTTACCGTAAGACTTCCACCTTTCCAGAAACTTTCCATCCTCCACAAAGTGCAATATAAATTCCGTCACCTCAGAAACACTTTATTTATTTCACCCAACCAGACTTCGCACCATATGTTTAATAATATGTGTGCAACCCTTGCATGGCGCCACGAAAACCTTCAACAAATCCTTCCTACCGAGTGCTATTGAGTTATAGTGCGCATAATGAACAGCAATACAATTATTAGGGACGTACTTTTGTGTTTTCAAAACTTTGAATTTGCCACCGTACTCTATTATTTCATGCTGTTTATTTTTCTAACGGCATTTTCAGCATGTTCTCCTTCCTCTTCCACTTTCGTTATATTTCTATTTTCAAGTTCTAACATGTCGGATATTTAATACCTGCAATTTTTCTTTGTCGGCTCATGGTAATATCATAATGACCGTGCTGTTACTCATGCTTTATTCCTCCCCCCTTATGCAATAACCTGAAAATGGTGTTAAGGGTAAATAAAAAACGATGACGATTATGAGTAGCTCCTAGGACTGTACTTTTAACTTCACCATCAGGAGCGATCATTTTACCTCGAATATACTTGTTTAAGCTTTGAGAAGAGCTATAGATTACCGAGTCCCACGTCTGAGCTGCAGGGCAGGCAATTCATGATAATAATTCTTGGAATGTAACGTCGTGAAACTAGGAAAAAAATTACGAGGGATGCCGCAGTGGGGGGGGGGGGGGGGGGAGCGCAAAGAATTCGACCTTGTGGGTTGCTGTGCAGGATGGCCCGAGCTTCTCGGGCACACAGCTTGCGCTATGGCGGTTATGTCACACATACACTGCCGAGTGCGTATTAGGCATCAAGCTATGCCCAGGTGGCGCTGCAAAAAACGCTGCCACCAGCGCCCTCATCGCCGCGCTGGCCGTAACTGGGTAGTGCAAAGAGAATGGGTAGTACAAAGAGCCCGCAAGCGAACGTGCATAAGCGCTTCTCTTTTAGTGGTGTCGATACGTAATTTTCTGCAAATCAAGGACCTGACAAGCTTGTTCGATGAATCCAACCTCGCTTCAGAAAAGCAGGAAGCTCCTCAAAGTGAACTGCGGGTGCAATGCAAAAGGTAAAAGGTGTTTCAGTCATTTTGGCGGGCTTCAAGTCACAATTTAAATATAAGCGAGCATCGCATAATACCGACTTCGAGGCAAACAATTCGGCGTTCGTTCTGTAGCGCTTACATGCGTGATTTTGGGCATAAAAATGATGCCGAAGCGATCAAGTGCACACTTCATCTTACGATCAGTGGTACGCCCCGCCGCGGTGGTCTAGTAGCTAAGGTACTCGGCTGCTAACCCGCAGGTCGCGGGTTCGAATCCCGGCTGCAGCGGCTGCATTTCCGATGGAGGCGGAAATGTTGTAGGCCCGTGTGCTCAGATTTGGGTGCACGTTAAAGAACCCCAGGTGGTCGAAATTTTCGGAGCCCTCCACTACGGCGTCTCTCATAATCATATGGTGGTTTTGGGACGTTAAACCCCACAAATCAATCAATCAATCAGTGGTACGAAGCTAGCCTTTGCTTTTGCATTCTCCATACATCTTTTGCTTCCTGTAGGTTAGACTGATTTTTTATTACGCATTCTAGAATGCTCTGTTGACGATTGTTTTTCCATTTACATATTTCAAATGACAATACATGTGTGTCAATTTTCTCGGTATGCAACGAAATGCAAAACTGATCTTTCCGAGATAGTTCCGGCAATCGCGGAGGCCGACGGCAAGAACCACGTGATTGTGATCATGACCAAAATTTTGCTATTTACCTGCCTAATGTACGCGTTTGCCTTCACTAGTTAAAACTGGT